GCGTCTTACGAAGAGCTCGCCACTTAGGGGCAGCTCGGCACTTACAGGTAGCTCGACACTTAGGGCAGCTCGGCGTATCGTAGGAAGATCTCCTGCTTGACAACCGTACCTAACAGATATGGAGACCTGCACCCACGTCTCTCGCTAGGCGGCGCCGTGCCTGCCAGTCCTGAGAGCTGTCCCTTGATTGGCAGAGCCGTACTCTGTAGCAGTCGCCTGCACCCGCCACCTTAGCTCTGGCAGTAACGACTGCGGCAGAGAGATAGAGGCGGTTACGCCTGATTTGACTGGACACTACTATATAAGGACTCCGACCCCCAAAGACAAGAAGGATAGAATGACAAAATGGAGGTAATCCTTGCTCTCTAGCTCTCTCATTTCTCTCCAAGCTCCCTACAATCAGAATGCTAACTTAGGCATCGGAGAGTCCCCGTCGGGAAAATACCCCCGGGTCCTTTGATTCAGTTCTCGCAGGTCCCTCAGCTCCCGCCGCCTGCAAAGGAGAGGAGATCACCTCATGCAGAGGGCAGTCGGGTTGCGCTACACCAGGCAGCTCGTCACTAGGTAGCTCTCCACCAGGGAGCTCGTCACCAGGTAGCTCTCCACCAGGGAGCTCGTCACCAAGTAGCTCACCACCAGGGAACTCGTCACCAAGTAGCTCGTCACCAGGTAGCTCTCCACCAGGGAGCTCGTCACCAAGTAGCTCACCACCAGGGAGCTCGTCACCAAGTAGCTCATCGCCAGGCAGTTTGCCACCACGGAGCTCCATCATCCTTTGAGTCACAGGCCACCTGGGAGCAGGTCAAATGACGAGGTACTTAGCCAAAAAATTGGTACATCACAAAAAAAATTGGTACGTGACTAGAAACGGTTACATCAGATAGATTTAACATCAAGGAAATAGAAGATAGGGTTCGTTTTGTTTGCATGAATGAGGGTCTGGATTTGGAATTGGAGTGGTCTGATTCCAACTGTTTGATCGGATGGATTTGGAATCTGATTTCCATTCCTGGTGGAATGGCATTTCCCCATATGAGGGAATGGTCATTCCTTCCCCCTTCCTTGAAAATGAGAATCCATTTAAATCAATTTTGGTTCTGATTCCAATTCTAATTCTAGACTGAACCAAACAAGTGATGGGAATAAATCATTCCGATTTCGATTCCGAAAGATTTTGATTCCAATTCCAACTGTAAACCAAATGGAGCCATAGGATGAGGAATGGATATAAAACATCCATAGCAGATAGCACAATCTGGGAGAAAGCAAGAATATCACCTACTGAGAGCAGCATGAACTGGTAATAAAGCATTAAACAAGGCACTCTAATATTTTACTTTCCTTTTTAAGTTGATTGATTAATAAATTCTAAGGTGGCCGCCTCTCCATCTAAAATAAATTTTAGGGTTAAAAAAAAGCACTCCAATAGAAACATTGAGATCCTAGGACAAAGGTTCAAAGTATCGATACATATCATATCGAAGCCTTCCCGATACTCCCCTACAGGGGGTGTTTCTGGTCAGCAAGTGGTTCAGGGGGTAGACCAACCTTAAACTGGCCCCTCTGAACCAGATTCGAAAAAAAAAACAAAAAAAAAGTACCGATACAAACCGATATGCCGATAGCCTAGGAGGCAGGATAAAGCCATTGAGTTTAACAGTCTATAGCCCGATTTGCATGAATATTTTCCATGGGTAGTAAAGGTCCCGGCCACCTTGTATCTTACCGCATTATTGTTCCAAGATATTTCATTGTAACCACAGAAATGGAAGCCAGTGCCTTCTTTCAGCCTTAAAAGTTTGCTTTGGAGTTGGGAATATCTATAGTTGTTGATGGAGATGCACACAATATATGTTATCCTTGCTCTGTTGGAAGCCAATGGATCGATCTCCTCCTTGGCGTATAAGATATATGCGTCTGCGAACAAGGCTACTCATATAATTGCTAGACACGCTATATGTATAACTTGTATGCAGACTTGGTCTTCATGCCCTTCTTTTTTAGTTGATGTTGTAGCTCTTAATGAATTTTGCCTTGCCTTGTTAGGCTTTGGAAAAAGAAGAATAAAAGGTCCACTAGCAACTTACATAAAATTGTATACAAAATAAAACCATTTATGGTATTGCAATAGGGGTTGTATTTTAGATGGCATAATATTGTTATCTAATAAGCACATCAATGCTATATAAAGTTAATACTTTCCTTGAGATTTGTGTAAATCATAAGAGGGCGTTTTTTTTTTTTGGATTTGGAAAGGGGGAAAGTTGGTCAATGGGATTTTGGTTCCCATTGACCAAGAATCCCATGCTCTTTTTTCATCTTTATGTGAGGATCAGGGAAAGTTTATTTTCTTAGGTATCACTTACCCAGGAAAATGATACCCATCTCCTATGTGGGCAAATAACTATCCCATACAAGGGGAAAGCAGCCAACACTTGAATAGGACAAAAATGCCCCTTTTAATAATAGATTTTTATGGCTAAAATGGTCATTTCCTTATTTACCCGAGAAATAAAAGAACATGGATAAATTTACTTACCTGGGTAAGTGTTTCCTAGGAAAAATTTATCTAGGTAATTGCATTTACTTGGGTAAATGCACTTGCGTAGTCTGAATTCCTTTTTAGGCCCAAAAATATTGAGCCTAATCTAGACAGTTAGACTTGCCCATAATCATAATGCACTTCATATTTCTATAATCAGGTAAATGGACTATGATGAGGGACTTGGTGTTGGTGGGTTAGATTGGATTGGGGATGGGTTGAAGGGGATACAAGACCTCCTCCCCACGAAAACCCTATGTGTGTGGACAGTTTTCCACTTCCTAAGGCTTAGTTTGGAAGAAGTATAAATGCAAATATGTAGAGTGTAAAACCTTGTATTTTGTATTATTTTGCTTGTATTTGTACTGTACATATTTGCATTTATACTCTTTCCAAACTGAGCCTAATGTGCAAGTGAATGCTAGTGCTTTCAAGGTGCCTAATTAAGAGTTTTATAGGGAGGAAATCCAAGCTCATTGAAAGGGAGCTCAGATATTCTAAAAATAAAAAACTTTGCACACATAGCATTCATCTGCACATTGGGAATATCTAGATCTTCATGTATGTTTAACTCATACCGAGATGTTCCTAATGTGCAGTTGGACTCTCATGCGTGCATACACAGTTATTCCTTGCAAAGAATCAAGTTGTGTTGAAGGGTGGTCATTGGTAAAAGGTTGAAAACCAAACTGTAAGATTGTAGATAGATAAATCTATGATTCCTGAAAGATATGATATTGAAAGAGCTTGGATCAATCAAAACTCGGATGAATTTTGATCAATACCACGTGGTTGACCAACATTTTTATGATGCTGATTAGTTATATATCTTTACCATGTAAATTGTAATTCTGAATTGCCAATACTTGTCTTTACACTGGCTTCACGTTCTGATGAGCAAGATAGCTCAATATCACTTGGTCCTATCTCACCGTTCATAAGGTTGTGTTTGGTTCGAAAGAAAAGATAGGAAAAAGCACAACCTAAGTGTATGTGAATATGTGGTCTTGGTTTCTTGTTCCTTTATAATAACATTTTTGTTTTTAGATCCCTTCTAATTTGTTTTTGATAGAAATGTCCACTTGGCAAGGAAAACAAAGGTTTTATATAAAAGAGAAAAATCTGACTCAAACATTTCAGCTTGAAATTTTTATATCCATTTTATGTTGAAAAAAATGCATCCTAAGTGTAAAGGAATCAATTAGCAAAACCTCACATGATCCTCGTATATAGTTGATGATATGCTTACAATTATTATCATATTAATAGCACCATTCAAGGAAGAGAAGTGTCAAATGAAAAATATGTGTACTTTTATGAGAATAATAAGAGTGAAAGACAATTGAGAATAATGGTCGAATAATGGTCAAATATCTTATTCTACTTTCCTTGATGGTTTATATAGAGTACAAGAATAGTGAAGTTCTATCTGAATTAGGATATGTTAGATGCAATTCTAATTAAGATAATTCTTATCTTACTAGGATAGGTTTATCCTTTACAAAGATAATCTATAGGGATAGGGGTTATCTACAAGAAGGAGAAGTACAATAGGAAAGGTATTTACAGTATAAGAGGGAATAGGAGTTTATAGATGAAGTAGGACTCTTGGGTGCATGTGCCATGCACCTTAGCACGTTATCGCTTACACCCCCCTCAAGCGCAGCCGGGGGAGAAACAGTGAGCTTGTGACGAAGAACCTCGAATTGTGGAAAACCGAGGGGTTTGGTAAGGATGTCTACTATTTGATCAACTGAGGGTATGTACCAAACATCAAGAAGATTCATTACAACCTTTTCCCTATGAAGTGAATATCGAACTCGATGTGTTTAGAACGAGAATGAAGTGCAGGATTATTAGCAAGAAATTTATTTCCCATGTTGTCACACCATATCAAAGGAGTGGTAGAGATAGAGATACCCAGTTCTTGGAGGAGCATATGAAGCCAAGAAACCTCAGTAGCCACGGAGGCTAAGCTGCGATATTTTGACTCAGTACTGGAGCAAGCCATCGTGGGTTGCTTTTTGGAGCTCCAAGAAATTAAATTAGAACCAAGAAACATACAATAACCACTTTGAGAGCAACGATCCATGAGACCGCTACCCCAATCAGCATTAGAGTAAGCAACAAGAGAGAATGTATGGCATGGTTGAAGAAGCAAACCATACGTGATCGTCCCTTTGAGGTATCGAAGAATCCTCTTTGTAGCAGCCCAGTGAATAGTAGTAGGGATTTGCATGAACTGACAAACTTTATTCACAGCAAAGGCAATTTCTGGACATGTAATAGTTATGTACTGGAGAGCACCAATAATACTACGAAAGAAAGTTGGATCAACGAGAGGTTCCCCTTCCGATTTGGTGAGCCGAGTGGAGGCAGACAAGGGTGTGGAGAGGGGTTTGGAATCATGAAGTTGTGCTCGATGCAGAAGATCATCAATATACTTATGCTGAGAGAGATTAAAACCAGTGGATGATCTGTGAAGTTCAACACCAAGAAAATAACGTACAGAGCCCAAATCTCGAAGAGAAAACTGAGAGGCAAGATGCTAAATGAGAGTGCTAGTGGCAAATGAGGAAGATCCTGTAATGATGATGTCATCAGCATAAACAAGAAATAAATTATGTCAGATCTAGAACGAGAAATAAAAAGAGAGGCATCTGCTCAAGATTCAAGAAACCCCAGAGAAAGAAGAAAATTACGTAGCCTTGTAAACCATGCACGAGGTGCCTGTTTCAAACCATAGAGAGATCGATGTAGGCGTTAAACATGTGTTGGGAATCTAGGATCAACAAACCTAATTGGTTACTTCATATATATCTCCTCTGAAATGTGGCCATGTAAGAAGGCATTGTTGACATCCAATTGGCAAACATCCCATTCAAAGGAAACTGCAAGAGATAATATTATGCGAATCGTGGCTGGTTTGACCACAGGGTTGAATGTTTCATCATAATCAAGACCAGCTTCTTGAGAGTAGCCCTTGGCAACAAGGCGGGCTTTGAAACGTTCAATCGAACCATTAGGCTTACACTTGATTTTAAAAACCCATTTGTTGCTAATAATATTTTTATCTGGTGGTGCCAGGACAAGAGTCCATGTGTTATTTTGAATTAAAGCCCTATATTCATCAGTCATAGCAAGAACCCAACAAGGATCCTTGTGAGCTTGGGAATAACAAGTAGGTTCGGATTCCGGAAGAGGACTAGCAGGGAGGGCATACCTCAGATTTGGCTTGAATATACCATGTCTAGCCTAAGTGGTCATGGGATGCAAGGAAGAGGTAAGCGGTAAGGCAGAATCAGTAGATACCACAGTGGAAGATGGGAGCACAACATCTTGAGGTGTAGATGAAGAAGATGAAACCTCACTTGGCAATGTAGTGTTATAAGCAGCAACAAGGGGAGGAGCCCCAACTGGAGGAGATGAAGTCGATGATGGAGAAGATGTAGCAGCAATTGCAGAAAGGAAAGGGAAAAGAATCTTCATTAAAAATGACATTGCAAAAGATAAAAATCTGTCCCATAGATTGATGCAAGCAAACATATCCTTTTTAAGAATTAGAATACCCAAGAAATACACATGAAAGAGAGTGAGGCTACAACTTGTGCTTATTATATGGTCGAACATGTGGAAAGCACTCACATCCAAAGGCACGGAGTTTGAGGTAGTCCAGAGGATGACCAAATAATTTCTCAAAGGGAGAACACGATCCAAGAACTGAAGTAGGAAGCCAATTAATAAGATAGACTGCAATGGAGAAGGACTCAAACCAATATTTTTGAGAAATCCCAGCATGAGTCATAAGAGCAAGACCTGTTTCAACAATATGGCGATATTTGTGCTTAGCTCGTCCATTCTGTGTCTGTGTGTGTGGACACGATATACGACGAGAGATACCCACATGATGAAAATAGTTCTCAAAAGTCTTAAATTCAGAGCCACCATCACTTTGAGAATATTTAATTTTAGTGTCTAACAACAATTCAACATTGGCTTTGAATTTTAAAAACACATTAAATGCCTCAGATTTGCAAGTAAGAGGAAAAATCTAACTGTAACGACTAAAATCATCAACAAACAGAATATAGTAACGATAGCCAGAAGAAGATGCCACTAGAGAGGGTCCCCATAAATCACAATGAATTAATTCTAAGGGAGAATTACTAATGGCATGATTTCTAGAAAAGGGAAGTACATGACTTTTGGCTATGGAGAAAGTTGAACAAAAAGTTAAATAACTACTAGGAATTATTGGTAAGTGCTAAGAAGAAATAATTTGTTGAGTCACTTTAAGAGTAGGGTGACCCAATTGATGGTGCCAAATTCCAGTGTTGGCATGAGTATCTACAAATGTAGAAGGGGACGAAGCTGATATCTTTAGTGGGAGACGAAGCTGATACAAACCATCTCTCTTCGACCCTTGAAGAAGTATCATCCCGGTGCGTCGATCCTTTAGAAAAAATTCATGAGGGTGAAATTCAAAGTAGACATCATTATTAGCGGAAAACCAAGCCACAAATAATAGATTGAAGGAGATCCGGAGAACATGTAGAATATTATTCATAATCAATGATCTGGAAGATAAAGTGGAAACAATTGAAGAGCCAGAATGAGCAATAGGCAAACCTGAATTGTCGCCAATAGAGACACGATCAAATCCATCATAGTTAGAATGTATTTGTAGTTTTTTCAGATCTGAAGTGAGGTGATGTATCGCACCAGAATCAAGGAACCAAACATCTGTATTCTACTTGTCACATCTTGATATAGTCGTAAACGCCAGGGGTTGTGGTCGTTTAGGGTTCTTTAAACTCTCAATATGTGCAATAAGTTTTCGACATTACTTGGCAGAATGATTTCATCCTCCATAAATTGTATTTCTAGGAATCCTTCCCTTTAGAGGCAAGATTCGCAAAAGGAGAGCTAGCCTGTGTAGATGTAGTTACTGAATGAAGTAAATGATTTTCATGAGTGAGAAGCATACATTGTAAACGATAATTCATCTGTCCAGGTAATGATTGCTGTAGAGAAGGCATCATAGTCTGGACCAAGGCCATTAAGGGCATGATGAATTAACTAGTTTGTTAGGGGTTCACCAAGGCCAGGAAGGATGTTTGTCAGGGGTTCACCAATTGCAACTAGTTTGTCACCAAGTACCTTGAGTTTTTGTAGATAGTCAGACATGGAGAGATCATTCTTGTGTAGAGCTCCGAGTTGGTTTCTGAGACCAACTACATTAGCTATTCCTCGAGGAGAATAAAGGCTCTCAAGCGTTTCCCAAACATCCTTCCTGGTTTTGCTTCCTTCTGAGACCAACTACATTAGCTAGTTTGTCACCAATTGCGCTAATGTTGTTTCTATTAGAGAAGATAACAACCAATTGAAAATATAACGATCCTATTTAACCCATTGTGTATAGGATTCAATCAGCGAGTGAGATGGACAAAGGTTTATCCCATCAACATATTCGAGGAGTTCATGGCTCAAAAGGGCATTTTCAACCTGAAAACTCCATACAATATAGTTGGAACCATCCAATTGAACCGAAATCAACTAAGGAATGTGATTCCCCAATACTCTGAAGGTTATTTGATTGATCAAACTGGTAAACATGCTGGAAGACATGACAAAACTTGGAGAAAAAAACTGCTCAAAAAGAAGAAAAGAAAGGAACTTTTTATGGCTCTGATACCATATGAGAGTAATAAGAGAGAGAGAGAGAGAGACAATTGAGAATAATGGTCGAATATCTTATTCTACTTTCCTTGATGGTTTATATAGAGTACAAGAATAGTGAAGTTCTATTTGAATTATGATAGGTTAGATGTAATCCTAATTAGGATAATCCTTATCTTACTAGGATAGGTTTATCCTTTACAAAGATAATCTACAGGGATATGGGTTATCTACAAGAAGGAGAAGTACAGTAGGAAAGGTATTTACAGTATAAGAGGGAATAGGAGTTTACAGGATGAAGTAGGAGTCTTGGGTGCATGTGCCATACACCGGATATGTGCATGTTCCATGCACGTTAGCACATTATCGCTTACAACTTTTAATACTTAAACATTTTATAAAGTTTTTTTTTAATTTATAGGGCTGAACTAATTGTAAACTAAGGTGGCGTTTGATAACACTTTTAATTTAGAGGTGTTTGGAAGTGTATCTAAATTTGGGTCTGAAAATTATTTTCAGATTTGAAATAATAACACTTGGGCCAGGCGTTGAACGCATTCAGATGTGTTTTCAAACCTGGCCGAAAGTCCAAATTACCTTTAAAAACATGCTTGTGTTTCTCTCTCTCACCATTTATCTTCTCCACTTGTCGCAGTGGCGAACCAGTGGCAGCAAATGACTCCTATGGCAAATTAGCGGCGACAAGTTTTAGCCTTCTCTCTCTCTCTCTCTCTTCTTCTTCTTCTTCCTCTATGGTCCTGCAACTTTCGTCCTTTGTTTTTCATTTTCAATCGCCGCTGCAACTCTTGACAATGGTGGCAAGTTACTCCTTCGGCGAACCAGCGGTGACGAGTTCCAACCTTCTCTCTCTCTCTCTCTCTCTCTCTCTTCTTCTTCTTCTTCTTCTATGGTGCCACGGCTTTTGTCCTCTGTTTTTCATTTTCGATTGCCACTACAACTCTCGACAGTGGCAACAAGTGACTCCTCTAACTAATTAGCGGTAACGAGTGATTCCTCTAACCTTCTTCTTCTTCTTCTTCTTCTTCTTCTTCTTCCGTCCTCTGTTCATCGTATTCATCTTTCTTCTCCACTAAGTATATTTTATTTGTATTAATTATTAAATATTTTAATAGTTTTAAGATATTATTTTTCTAATTATTAAATATTTTAATAGTTTTAATAATTTATTTTTAATTTATAAATTTATATGTATTTTCAATTTTTTCTTATTTTAATAAATTATTTTTTATTTTTATAATTTATTCATATTTTTCAATATTATTTTGAATTTAATAAATTATTTTTATGAAATAGTACAATTTGAACTCAAAATTACTGAGTAGTCTGATTTAGGGGTAAAATAGTAAAATTAGTGAATTTCAGATGTTGAAGGTTTGATCAAATACAAACAACCTTCTTTGTTCAAAACCTCTAAAATGTCAAAAAACAACTATATCTCTTTTCGGATTTCAGACACTTTTAATATCTTTCTAGCTTTTTAAATTTTCAAATTTCAGATTTCAGATTTATCAAACACCACCTAAATATACTAAAATGGAAATTTATTGAAACGATTAGGTTGGAATCTAGGAATGGATATAAAGCATAAAGGTTGTGATTGGATAAGCTTTTTCTTTTGTGTTTTTTAAAGTATAAAACATGAAGCGTGTTTATATTTTTATGTGTATTTTTGTAGTTTGGTAAATTTTGTTTTAAAAACAAGCTTTTGCAATTTAAAACATGTTGTTTTACGTTTATGACATGTGACTTAATAAATTTTTTGTGTCAATTTGTTATTTATTGAATTTTATAATATAAAAATGTCATATGACCCACAATTGTACCGTGTGGCAGAAATTTTTTGCCATATGACATGTAACTTGCCACGTGTCACAAATTTGTCACATTGAATATATTTTGTCATGTATTTGATCAAAAGTAGCTAAAGTATTCCATAACGACTTTGTGCCCTTGTTGTAACTTGGAAAATGTCTAAGTTCAAAACTAATGGAATGCTTAAAGCCTAAAGGCAGGGTAGCTCTTTCCCCTTGAACGCTGAAAGTTAGGGACCTAAGTGTGTACAACTTTAGAAAAATGAGTCCGGATCTCCTGTCCACAAGAATATTCCCCACGTCTACTCACATAATATTGCAGTCACACATGAATAACATCTCATCCTCCTACATAATATTATGCACGGGGAGATGTTTCCAATGCATGGGGTAGTGTGTTGTGGGTACACATGGATAGAGCAGAGTTCCTGTGGACAGGAGATCCGGGGTCTAGAAAAATAACATATGCTATCGCGAAAGTCTAATTCGACCTTTTCTCCTCCTTCCAAATATCTGGTTAATTCACCAGGTCTAGTATTTAACAAGAAGGTAGTATACACAATAACACAATCGAGTTTGACAAAATGTTATTTGTATCAATCAGAAGTTCCAAAAGTTGATATTTATAGATTTATAGATGAGAATGTCAACTGCTGTACAATGGATGCATAAACAATTGAATCGGAAAAAAGATATAAACATGGTAGAGAGATCATAGATAAGTAGTCGGGTTCTTCCTCTCGCTTTTTTAGTTGGAGGAGATATAGTATCTCTTCAAACATATTGGTTGTGCATGGTATGGTAATGGGTCCATGGACTTCGTGATCAAAATCCTCCTATTGCATGGATTGCTTGAGTAATGTTTTGAAGGTTGGGAATGACATGCTCTATGGGGACTAGGGCCATATTTGGTTCATTGCTCTGGGTTCGTTCTCTTAATTCTTGCTCATTTTAGGCAAGAATGGGCAAGAAGAAATAACATTAGAGTGTTTGGTTATAAAATTCTTGCCAAGAGCCACATTCTTTTTAGAATGAAAAATTAGCCCCATAGCACAAAAATTGACTAGCCTGCAACATGAAAAATAATCATGCCCCATCTTGCTCATTTCATTCTTTGAGAAACTCTACCTACAAAACTGTTACCATATATGTTTACTTTTACAAAAATACTTTTACGAAATCACTTTTATAAAGTACTTTTATGAAATCACTTTTACATGAAAGCACTTTTATGAAAGTACTTTTATGAAAACACTTAACAAAGCACTTTTACAAAAGTACTTTTATGAAAGAAGTTTTACGGAAGTACTTATACAAAAGCACTTATATGGAAGTACTTTTACGGAAGCACTTTTATGAAAGTACTTTTATGAAAGAACTTTTACAAAAGCACTTTTATGAAAGTACAGAAGCACTTTTTGGAAAGCACTTTTATGAAAGTACTTTTATAAAAGCACTTTTACAAAAATACTTTTATAAAAGCATTTTTACGAAAGTACTTTTGTAAAAGCACTTTTACGAAAGTACTTTTACAAAACATATATGCCAATTGGTAAACATTAACTATTGGAGACCTAGACTGGTGGTTTGTGAATACCTGTACAATTTTTTTTTGAAGAATGAAAATGAGCAACATAGGACACTTGTCAATCTAAAAAGAATTCGTTTTTAGGAAAAAAGTGTTTGATTCATAGCAATATTTTCTCATTCTAAATTTTATCCATTCTTTTCCATTTTAGAATTTCATCTTGGGTAAGAATGAGAAAGAATGAGAATTGAACTAAACATGGCATAGATATCTATTGTATTCTTTCCTAGTAAAAATCCTTTTGGGCAGGAGCGGAGCTAGAATTTTTTCTTGAGGGGGGGCAAAACCTAGAAAACATGGATAGGGGTGCCAAAAGCTAAGAAACATGGGTAAGGGGGTCAAAATAAAAGTGGAATTTAAATGGGTTTTGTGGGAATTTTGAAGGCATAGGGGGCTATGGTTCCCCTTCGCCACCCCTGGCTCCACCCCTGCTTTTGGGGCTTGAAGTTGGTTGCCATCATTCTATGACAACATGACGCATTTGAATTCAAGTAAGATCAATGTTGAAATGGCTCAGACTAGCCTCTTCTTGAGTGAGAGAAGTCCTCAATGAACATGTTTCAAGAAAATATAATGGGAGTTGGGATTTCTATATATGAGGAGTGATGAGGGGTAACTTGGTCCTCCTAATCACTTCGTGACACATGGCCTTCAAGTAACACCTCTGCACTGAGTAAGCAAGCTAGCTCAGCAAGTTAGCCTAGAGCACCTCACCTAGGCCGACCTCCAACTCGGCCAGGCCGAACTGACAGGTCCCCTAGCTTGCGGCGACCTATCTCAGAAACCGGCTGAGCTATAGAAATCCACACTGATTTGCGAGGAGAGCCCGTTGACTTAGACTGATAGTGTGTTACTAGCCCGAAATCTCCAGAACGTTAATACCTCGACCGTTAGACCGGCCTACCGCATCGCAAGCCTTAGAGTTATTCGGGCAGTTCGTAACCTCCACGCAGATCTTGCAACCGATGTATTAGTGCTCCTGACTAAGCGGAAACGACTCCGCAAAGAAGGTGAGACGTTGTGAAGGGTTCTGACCATCGAAACATATATAAAGCACTCATTTCTACATAGGAATGGCAACGGGGCGGGTTCGGGGCGGGGATTACATTCCCCATCCTTGATCCCGACCCCCAAATCACCCCCGTCCCCATCCCCGATCCCTGGTAGGGAAAGGAATCCCCCCTCCATCCCTGACTCCGACAGGGATGAATTCCCCGTTAGAGGACCGAATCCCCGACGAACTGGAGTGTATCAGTGTTTTTGTTTCACCAAATAACAAGGGCCAAATGATCTTGACCAGGCATTCTATCTGAAGTCTAAACTATATTAGAATTTATTTTCTAGATTCTAGAATATAATAGAAATCAATCAAAGATTCAAAGTTGAGAGAAAGACTGAGAGAGAGAGGACCGTTGGGAGAGTTGAGGTTGACGACGAGAGAGAGAGTCCGACGGGCGACGGCGATCGATGACGATAGACGAAGGTTGAAGGACTGATGACTGAAACTCTTCTTTGAGTATCTCTTCTCTATCACTCGAGAAGGCACGAAGCTATGGTTCTAAGTCTTCTGACGGCGACGGCGGGCGACAGCGACAGCGGTCGGCGAATTGGCGACAAAGACAAAGGAACGCACGAAGCTAGGGTTCACTGGTTTAGCCGTTCCAGAGGCAGAGTTGAGACCTGACAGTTCTCGACTTCTCTCTTCTCTCTTCTCTTTTCTCTTTGTCGAGGGTTTTAGTTTAGTGTTTTACACTTCTATTGTTTTATAAGTTTTAATATTTTAAAAATGAATAATATTATATATAATATTATATTGTATATATTATATTATATATATATATTAATCAGGGCCGGGTCAGAGCGGGGATTGCATTCCCCATCCCCGTCCCTGAACCCGATCGGGGATTCAGGGATCGCCCCTTCTCCAACCCTGACCCTACCAAAATACCCCCATACCCGACCCCGTCGGGTCGGGGAGTCTAGGTACTTGTCGGGGACGGGGAAAATTGCCACCCCTTGAGAAGGTACGCGCGATAATACACTCTCAAGCTCTCTCATTCTCTCAAGAACTCTCTAAACATCTTCTGACTTAAGCATCAGAGTGCCATCCCTGGGTAAAGACAAACCGGGCACTCTAACATTCTCTCTTGCATAAGTACATCAGCTCGACCACTTCCAACTCGACCCTGACAAGAAATCTTCTGAATCATCGTCTGAGTCACCTGACACGAGGGAGCAGCTAGATCGCACAATATCAAGGAGGAAAGTGAGAGCGCAGGTGAGGAGAAGGAAACCCAAAAAAAACATAGATTAATTAGGAGAGGTGACATAGAATCAATGAACTAGAAGATAGAGTGACGAAGAGATCATAAATAAAACTCCCATTGAAGGGAAAGGGAAAGCAGAGAATGAAAAATATGAGATTATGATGAGATGGCGGTTATAACAAGCCTATTATGGAAACTAGAAAAAAGAATCTATATGATTGGTATTTCAAAAAAAAATGTATTAAATGCACTTGTATGGAATGTTGATGATGGTGGGATTTTGCCATTTTGAAGGGAAGAGGTGTACCATCCGCATGGATCTTCCCATTTAGGGGTGAGAAAAAAAAATGAACCAACCAAAACAATTGACCAAAATCGAACA